ATATATATATATATATATATATATATATATATATATAAAATTACTTTACCTGGCTGCACAGTGGACAGTTGGATAGTGCTGTTGGCTTACAGAAAAGGATCACAAGTATAAAACATGACTTGGATCATTTCCATATGAGATTTGCATGTTTTCCTCATGTGTGAGTTTTCTTCTTTCACAGTCCAGTAAAATACATGTTAGGTTATTTGGAAACTCTAAATGGACCTTAAGTGTGTGTGTGAGTGCCCCTCTGGTTGACTGACAACCTGTCCAGAGTGTTCACTTCTCTCTTCTGTTGACCATTGGAGAAAAGCAGCAGCTTCTTCAACCCTGAACAGGATCAAGTGGGTAAAGAAAGTGAACGGATGGATATTTGCCACTGCAGACCCTGGTTTTTAGTGTAGTCTTAAAAATAAATTCAGAGAAAAGCAAATGTTACATCACTACTATGATCAAGTCCCTGCTCTCACAAAGATGTGAAAGCTAGAAATTGTATTTATTTCTAAATGCCAACTAAGATAAAGTGCCCTTATTGTGGTAAATATTATGGATTGTCTTCTAAGCAGGTATAGTTTGGGTTTTGTGAACATCGTCAAGATATATTATGTTTTATGTATGTAATCAGTGTTGCTATATTTTGTGAAAGCTTTGGCAAAGGGTGAACAAAAGCACAATACATTTTTAAAAGTACTTGTGTAGAACGGGTCCAGTATTTCCTATAGATTTGCAGAAGTAATTGTTCAAAATTTGTGCTCATGTTTTCCTATTTTATTTGGAAGGAATGAACTTGTGACCTTGTACCTGTTTTCTAAAATGTGTAGGTCCATGATGAAAGTCATGAAACAGAGCAACATTAAATGACACCTCTGTTAGCCATTTTGTTTCTGAAAATTATCCATCCGTAGCTGTTTTTATGAATATTTATTTTCACTAAAATGACTACGGCCAACTGTCCTCTTCGCCAAAGTCCCTACTTAAGCCAATTGTACCACATTTCATTATGTTTTAAAGGTTTCACTGCTGACACAAGTCTGGGCGTGAGAGCAAAATTGCAAAATAAATTAACTACAAACCCATTTTACATTTTCATCAGAGCAAATAAAGGGCTAAGTAGCAGCAGGAATTGAGGAGCACAATTTGATTTTGAAATGGCTTAATTAGGGAGAAAATTAAGGAAATCTCAACCAATCAGTGAAATTTTATTTATAATTTCGTGGAACAGTAGTGACTGATTGAATCTGGTGATAACGCAGACATTTTTTTAACGACTCTGTCTTGCTATTAATAAAAAACCCTTGAAGTTCAACCCTGTGGAGGTCTTATCTGCTCCAGTGCTACCAGACACTAACATAGTAGGACATGCATGGGCTTGCAGGCTTTGATCAATACTGACTGGTAGACCTTGCTCTTACCTCTTCCCTGTATTATTTTTTTGCTCTTCTTGGTTTCACCTATCACTCATCTGTCCACTCAACTCCCTCGCCCTCCGAGTGGAGATGTGGACCTAGCTCACAGTAAAAGATAAAGACACCTTGTCACCTGCTGTAATGATGGACTAATGAGCTGTTCAGACCAGCTGTAGTGTTTGGGACTCGAGCTCTGCTGTTATTTCCCACTGCTGGAGGTGGACCGTAGGAGGGATGCTGCTTTTAGTGTGACACTGCTGAGCCGAGTGGAAAAGGCCACATTACTACTGTCAAGCTTCACTGACTACCTCATCTTTGAAAGCAAGGCTGGATCCAGTGGACTAATACCAGATTGTTGGTTTGGGAAACCGTTGCGACTTGTACTTATCCCTGTATAGCACAGCTCAACAGACATTCAGCACATTTCATCTACTGTCTATTCGATAATGAAAAATCTGGCTTATCATTAGATGTAATATAAAATAACCGTAATTAAAATAAACGATTCCCCTAAAATAAAACGGAAAAAAGCCTTTTATGTGCTTTTTGTGCTTATCTTAATATTTTCTAACATGTATGTCTGTTGTGACGTACTGTTCTTATCTTAGCAGAATGCCCTTCAGGTGGTTTAAACATATGGTCGACAAGATGGCATTCAGCAACCACAGTATGTTAGCCACTGATGAGATGAAAGTCCCTTTTAGTGCCACCGTGCTTGATAATGATTAATGTGATAATTATGGCATGCAACATATCGAACATCATCGCTGAGAAGATTACTTAAAGCAACTTATCTAGTTTCAAATCGCTATTGGAGGTGAAATTAGGCTTTTTACTATGTTTTATTTTAAATTTTTTTTGCAAAATCAGGGAGATGCATTCTGTTTAGTTTTCCAGACATAGTTGGCACCCTCTGCTGTAGAGTCAATTAACAGAGAAAACACATCAAAGGCTTCTTTCCTTTACCCAAATTTCAAACAAAGGTGGGCCCACTGGCAAGGGCGCACAAACAGGTGGTAATCCCTGTCTGCTGGTGCTTCTGAGTGGGGGTGGGCGGTGCTTTCTCATCCTCACTCAGTCATCCACACTGACTAATTGCCCGGCTTCGTGCAACTTCTTTACTGACAGTGATATGAGGTTCAAGATTATGCCCAAACCAGCCCTTGTCACGTCGAAGACCGCAGGGGCTGCATGTGTTACCACGATAAGGCTCATTGCTTTTATTTCAAGCAACTCATTAGGAGCGCGAGCCTAAAACTCTTGCTACATTGTGCTTCCAAAAAGATTGAAGGCAAAAGAATCATGCTAAAACATACTCTGTGCGTTTGGCACTTTATAACTTACAAAAGTACCGGAGACATTTGGATCTCTGCAAAAGCGAGTGTATAGCATTGTCTAGGGCGGGGGGCTGTTTTACTTCATCAGTCAACTAAATCTGCTTTTAAAGTAGGAACAGTAAACTTTAACTGAGAAATGAATGTCTTTGTGTCCCTGTGATGGACTCGAGACCTGTCCACTGTGTCTCCCGCCTCTCGCGCAGTGACTGCTGGACATGGGCACCAGTGACCCCCGTGACCCAAAAAGGAAGAAGCAGTAAAGATTAATTCATTCAACCTTTTTTTATACAGGGTAGTCTCATTGAGCCACGAGGACTCATTTACAAGTGAGACCAGTTCCAGACAGAACATATAAATTAAAGACAACAATAACAATAAACTACAGTAAAAATGCAGTTAAAATAGAGTACTGTATAAAACAATAAATCAGGGTGCTGTAAAACAGGATGAAATGCTAAAAACAAGAGCACATCTGCTTTGATTTTTCTGTCGACATTATTAAATGTTTGAAATCCCTTAAAGAAATCAAGGTGGACAACTTCAGTTCCTGTTGCAAGGTGTTCCAGGTTGCAGGAGCAGAGTAGGAGAAAGCCTTTTCGCCAAGTTCAGTCCGCACTTAGGGAACGCTGCAGGTAATGATGTCCTGAGAGCACATGTTGTAACTGCACTGATGGCGTAACATATGGGAGGAGATATAAGAAGGTAGCAGACCAAGGAGGGATTTATAGATGAAAATTAACCAGTGTGAGAGCCTACGCGTAGATGATGACGACCAACTGACAAAGGAGTACAGAGTGCAATGATGGGCACGGTAGTTACAACCAGTTATGAATCTTAGCGCACCATGATAGACAGCATCCAACATCTGCAAGGAACTGGCAGGGCATTCATGTAAATTAGTGGCTGGTAGGAAGGTAGCGGTTACAAGGTGTTTTCTGGCATTCAGGGTTAAGCAAGATAATCCAAGATGGGTGGATGTCAAGTAATTGGAAAAATTATTTAGTAAACCAGAGTTTGAGGCAATGTGAAGTTTTATCTTCTTTTCTTTGTGACGTGGATCTTTTTTTTTATATTTAATGTACTTGAACACAGAAAGTACAAGTCTCTTACCAAAATTCTCGCGGAGTAGAGAGCAAACCTAAAAATACAAAAAAAATATTTGAAGAAACAAAAAATACCCTTTGACTATAACACTACAAGTCCACTGATTATATGAAGAAAAAGCTTCATTATTATTTACAATGTTTTGCTCAAGGAGCAGAATAACGTTCCAGAGAAAGCCCACAGTCCAGTTGAAAACGTTTTTTGATTTTTTTTCTCTTTTTAATTTTAATAATTTATTCTATTTCTGATGTGGGTGGTTGCATTTTATAACAGAATTATTGTGTTTGTTACAGAAATTTGAAGTCCATCCAGACCCCATGGTCAGTGTTACACACATGGCGTGCGCTGGTGGAGGCGTGTGGATGGCGTTCTCTGAGGGCTCCTCCATCCGTCTCTTCCATACAGAAACACTGGAGCTGCTGCAGGAAATCAACATTTCAACACGCTCAACGCTGCTGAGCACCGGTACAGATGTTTTATGACGTTCTTTTTATTGTTTAGTATTGGTTGTACGTGTGCACTAAAAGCTCATTAATAAAAAAAAAAAAAGGCTTTGTCTCTGCAGAGGGGTGTGCTCTTTTACTCCAGGGTTTTCTTGGATCTAGTACTACTTAACCAACATATCTTGATGGATGCTTAATTATCCGGGTAGAAAAATCTAACAAAGTTAAGTCAGGTCCTCTGGACGGATTAAAAATAAATAAATAAATTGCTGAAACGTTTCGTCTTTTATCCAAAAGTCTTCGTCAGTCTGAGGAGCTGCAACAAACTCAGTCTTATAACTAGCACCTAGCATAGTGGATCAAAACTAGCTGTTCACATGATCAAGGAGGACCATCAGCCTAATGACAGATCGTTAGTGCGCTGATGGCCGCTTGCTATTCACAGAGGGCTGAGTGATGCTAGCAATAACAGCATTGTAAGAAGAGGACAGTTGAACATGGAGGTGTCCGTTACTGTTTAATGATGGATGGTTTCTCTTCACAAAGATGGCTTCCTTCACTCCTCTCTCAAACTAACGTTCCGCTCTATAAAGGATGTGAACATCTTCATCCCTGAAAGAGTGGGTCACTCAGCCAGTGGTCACTCTTATTAAATACTAATTAAAATACTACTTACTAAATACCAATAAAGATACTAAACCAACAAACATTACATAATTATCTTGGGCAGTTACAAAGCCAAATGTGAAAATGTTGTAAAATTATTAGAAATGTGTCAAATTTGACAGTGTAAATATTCTTGAGAAGTCATGGACATTTTTCTGTAAGTCTATCCTTTCTTTGGTTTGGTGCCCGATTTACCCTATTGCAAATACACTACGGGAGTCCCTCTCTACTTCGCGGTACATTTTTCACGGACCCGCTCTATCGCGGTTTTTCAAAAAAAGGTTGGACATGAAACACAATTGGCTGATTGATGGATGAGCCGCACAATCGGCATTAATTTTTTATTTAAAATGAATTATTTTAAATTATTTAGCACCTGCTGCACCTTTGTGCAGCCCACACTGCAGGACAAACTTCCTCCTGCAGCTCCACCTTTCTCTTCTGTCGATCACCGTTCTGCACCGGAGAAGTGGGCGTGGCCACAAGCACAGAGTGCAGCCGGAGGCAGAGAGATGAGTTCATGACACTCTGTGCTCTTTTAGAGCTTTAAGAGTTTAGAAACATTGTTTAGAATATTGCAAGAGTGTGAAGGGTTTAATACGCTCATATATATATATATATATATATAAACTACTCCTACTTCGCGGTTTTTCACTTACCGCGGGGCTTCAGGGTACAGATCCCCTGTGATAAACGAGGAACTACTGTACAAGTATTTTATTCTTAACTTTTTTTATTTTGCTTTACCTTTCTGTCCCACTTTCCCTCTCTCTCCTTCCCCATTTCATCTCATCCGCTCTGCTTTAAAATCCTCTCACTGTCATTTAACTTCTCGCTGCGGTCCGTTTAGGATTCCACAGATAGCCCATTACTTCCACTGGGCATTCCTTTTGGACGGATGAAATATTCATCGGCGTGTGTGGATGCTTTTTCTTTTTTCCTTTCTTTCTTTTTTGATGTCCTCTTTTTAAAGCACAAACTATGATAAAGAAATTAGCACCTGAGCAGAGTGAAAGTATTCAAGATGGGGATATGATAGAACAAAATAACTATGTTCAGGCCGTGGCGTGAGGCTCATTAGCTCATTTATTGTACAGCATGGTCTGTTCGAGCTTTAAGCAGCGCTGCTAATGCATCAGGATTTAAAGCTTTTTGTTCGTATTAAACCACGCGGGACATTGATTGATGTTTTTACAGCGTTACTTAAAGGCACTGCAGCACTCCGTTTTATGTATAAAAATAACACAAAAAGTTTCTCTTGAGAAATGAGAAAAGAAAGAATAACAACAGGCAGGAAGTTAAACACTAAAGTCTCTTAGATGGCAGAGGAAGGAGGTTTTAAGACGGACAGAACTCTACGGGCATGATATCTGGACAAAAGTGGTGACTCGAAGGTCATTTTCACCGAGCGCATCTCGTCTCCCTTGAAATATGCAGCAGATTTGAAGGAAGGTGGCCTCGGGCCTTGGCCCTGATGGAAGTTCTAGGGCATTTAAAAAGTGCTGCTAGACTCATATCTTTGGGGTCCACAAAAAAAAAAAGATCTTCGACTGTAGTTGTGATTCGTTGAGCTCACAGGAGAAAAGAAGATCCCTCGACGCTCCACAATCACAGACATTGCACATGAAATTTCGATAAGTTTCTCCTCCTCACTGGGCCTCCTGCTCCTGGAGGTTTCTCCTTGACTTAGGACAGGCAGTAATGATATACCCTCTAATCCGTTTCCTTTAATGTGATTTATACCCAACCGGGAATTCCAGCTGCGGTAAACAACAGAGAAGTTTCAGAGGCAGAAGGAACTGCTGATCTCTTCTGTTTAATGCCTTTAATAGTTCTGTCCTTAGGGTGAAAAAAATAATTTCACAAAATCCAGTCCTGAGCGACACATGGAAGGGAGACATTTATCTTTGGTAAAGTTACTTTTTTTAAGGCAAATACCAGCTCCCTCACAGCACGCTGCGGAGTGCAGCGCTGCAAACATTGGCGGTGCAAGACTGCTTGAGGGGCAGCTATACCTCTTTAATCTCCAGTGCCTTTGTCATTATCCCTTTTCCGCACTTTTCTAAAGACAAAGCTTGGGCCTCACATCTTCAGACTTAACTTGAGATTTCACAGTAACCCCAGAGTGGGTGTTCATAAACATAAATTAGGCTCTCCAACCAAAGTACAAAAAGACTCTAAGGACATGTGAACAGGTGGGAGACAGTTTTAAAAAACAAAAAGGAACACATTTACCAACACCTAGCCTGCTGCTTTAACCCTTACACAGACGATCTACTGTGCTTCCTGCCGTACACGTCGCATCAGTCCGAAAATGTCTAATAAAGTGGAAAACAACATAAATACATCACTTCGCTTTAAAAGTCGCATCTATTATGCGTCACGTTTTTTATGCGTCATCTGCTCAGACAGACTCATGTTTGTGCTGCTGTTGTTTTGGCGCATTGTTTCTGTACCATTAGTGCTTGGTGTATTCTTAGTTCATGACTCGGATCTTACTAATGTTTTTCTTTACAATTTGTGTTTTTGTTGGATGTAACTGGGACCCTATGTACATAGTTTCGTCCCACCTCATGTATCACGTGTGGTGTGTATGACAAATAAATCTCTCCGACTCACCGCTGACCACCCTGAAACGTGGGCCGATGTTGTGCCACAAAATGAGTGGCTGCCAAATGGCTGCCATGGGAGTGTGCACAGGAGGACTTTAACAAGAATTAAACAAGATTAACACTTTAAAAACAATTTATTTGCTTGAAATTATAGTAAAGGTGTGTCTCAGTTGAACTTTTCCTTAATAAATGCACTTTAACAGTCAAATCAAATCAGCTGCATTTCGCCTGGGCGGCGCGGTGAAATGCAGCTGATTTGACATTTGCTCCAGGAGTTCTGGAGCGAGATGAAGGTGACTTTCTATGGCAAGCCAAGTGTCTCATTAATAGTCACTTTTACTTATTAATGAGACACTTGGTTTGCCATATTCGTCGAGGGCCCTCTAGTGGATGAAAATGGTAGTGTTCAATATTTTCCATGTCAGAATATATGAAATCGTCAGATCTCAGCCAAAAATTGGGTTATAAATATGAGAAAAAACATAAATAAGTCGCTTTGCCGTATAAGTCGCAGGACTTGCAAATTTATGCAAAAAGGTGTGACTTATATGGCGAAAAGTATGGTAAATTCTTCTGCTCTGTTATTTGTTCTTTTTGGTTTTTTACTCAGGTTTTACTCCCTTTAGTAAACCAAGCGTCTTTTTCCTGTTTTGAAGGATTCATCTCTGAACACAACAATGATTTAATTAAGCACACTACTGAGCCATTTACACAAAGCATCAGAACCAAAGCATGGCTCAGAACAAACATGTAACAACAGCTACACGCGTGAATAAGCATTGGCTAGGTTGTGTTCAAAGAAGTGGTAGGGTAATTCAATTAGGGCTGCCGTGGATGGTGTGGCAAATGGTTCTATAGATAACTAGGCCATAGTGAGAGCAAAAAAAATAAATAAAATAAAACCACACAACAAGCCAAAAACGGTATGCAAAAATAAATCCAAACAACACATTTTTTTGCCTTTGAAACTGGAAACAAAGGCTGTGCTCGATTAATAAGACCCTGTAATTATTTTCTTTCGTCACTAAGACAGTTTTACAAAAACGTGTCTGCAGTAAAAAAATAAAAATACTCTTAACAACTTTACAGTATCTATTTTCTTTTGTCTTACTTTATAATATGAAAATCAACCTTTAATTTAAATCACTGAGTAACCTCATCATATAGATTATTTAGCATTTATTTGTGAAAATAATACATTTCTGAATTTATCAGATTAAAACAAACAAACACCAGCTCAAATTTATAACTATTATTCAAACATAGTCAATTAAGTAGTTTAAAAGAAGTATCTGTGGGGAAATACCTTTACATTTATTTGTATTTTTTTATTTTTTACTTCTTTAAATGTGTCCTGGTGGGGTAGGTGGTAAATGGTAAATAGACTGTACTTATATAGCACCTTTCTACCTTATCGAGATACTCGAAGCGCTTTACACTACAATCTGTGTCTTATTTACCCATTCATACAGCTCTATACTAGATCTCTACAAAGCTAATTGAACAAATCATTCTAAAGAGACTAATCAGAGCTTTATCACATTCATACACCGATGGGACACACATTGGAGGCAACGAGGGGTTCAGTGTATTGCCCAGGGCATAGGCGTAGCCAGGATTTTATGAGGGGCGGTTCGTTTGAAGAAAAAGTGGACCTGTAGGACTACTCTGATTGGTTCATTGGCGGTGGTACACATAACTTCAAATGTGTAAACAAGCTAATTAGCTAGCTAGTTAAAACACTGCTGTGTGAGGTAAATCTGTGTTACCAAATAGGCGGTTGTGAGTGGAGAAAGAGCAACACACTGAGAGGGGAATAGCGTGTGTGTCCAGTCTTCTATTCAGAACTCATCCCAGACACGAACGAACACTTCGGTACTCCCGAGTCCCGCCCGAACATACACAAAAAAAAAAAAAAAACACCGAAGAAGAATGAAAGACGTCATCCTCTTAAAGGCACAGTACCACTCCTTAACTCTAACAACATAAATGCAAACTAAGCCCGCAAACGGTACTACTTTAAATACACAAATGAACAGTTGAATCAAAAACCACAATGTAATTTTACCGTTTGAATCCACCGTGTTGCCTTCCAAGCCAGGACAGAGTGAACGTCGTCTTCACCTCGCAGTTCTATATCTCGCGGGAGTTGTAGGTGGGACTTCATTGGCAAAGTGGGCGGTTTGTTCGAACCCCCCGAACCCCCCCTGGCTACGCGCATGCCCAGGGGCACTTTGGCATGTGACTGCTGGTGGGGTATTAATCTTAATTTTTTTTAATATATATATATTTTTTTAGAATCCTGTTTTTTCCTGGCTGTTTTTCATATTCTACATCGTCTTACAGCCTAGCTGTTTTTTGTTTAACTTTTCAATACCATTTTCTTTCACTTGTTCTTCTCAATTTGTATGCTTCCTTTTACAATTGTCTATTGTTGTCTTTGTTGTCTACTGTTGTCATCATTCTGTGTTAAAATCCCCACCTCCACCCAGGGCCGGCGGTAGCACTTGTTTTTTTTAAGAGTAAAATCTGTGACATGACCTGTCAATCAATCCAGTAGGCGTGTCAGCAAATGACCAATTGGCAACCTCAGTTTGTCCCAAAGGTAAACGCCCCTTACCTGCAGAGCTGCGCTGCAGCTCATCAAGGAACTAAACAATTAGCAGATGAGAAATGATCCTGCTCTTTAAACTTATGTCCGATATTGAACTTTAACGCTAATATCGTCCGATATCAATACCATGCCGATATTGTGCATCCCTAACAATTTAGTTTACATCTTTTGATTCATGTTAATCTACGGTAATAAACCTTTGTGAAATACACAAGAATGCAGGAAATGGCATCTACTTTATTCAAAATTATCTGGGAGAGGATCCCCAGACCCCCCCCCCTCCCCCGGTCCATGAAAATATTGTCTCACATTAAACCGGTCCGTGGTGCACAAAAGGTTGGGGACCACTGCACTAAAACTCATTAAAGTGTTTTCAAAATTAAGAAATAAGAAAAAAATAGAACTGGTTTACAGGTGATCTGGTCAAAACAATTTACATAGAACGCTCTTTGTTTAAAAAAATAAAATAAATAAATAAATAAAAAAAATAAAATAAAAAAAGTATCATCATATCCTGCCTTATTGATAACAGCATCCTAACTGTCCTTTAGGTTTTTGTTGAAGAAGTTTTGGAACGTTTCGTAGCCAGCAGTAAAGGACCAGGATGAATCTATAATTTAGATCCGTTAAAAGCTGTTGTGAGCTTCTTTTTTTTTAGCACTGTGATGACTTTTAAAAGGTTCAAGGATTGAGTGAAGTTTTGCCAACACTGTGTCGGTTTGCTTCATCTGATTTCCCTTCAAACTAGTAGGATAGATTTGTTAATCTCCAGCCTTTGACTGGACTTCTTATGAAGACCTGCAAAAAGTACTTCACTTTAGTGTCTATTTAAATGAAAGCATCCACTTTGTCAAAGCATTTCGTAAGTGAGCAATGGAAACATCTCAGCAGTCGTGTTTACACATTTTTTTAGTTCTTTTTGTTATGCATTTTTAGCACTTGTGGTTACTCAGCCAACTAACAGTCTTTTCTGTCTTGCTCCTATTTTGTCATTGAAAATTCCTTATTTTACATATCGTTAGCAGGCAGACTGATGTGAGACATGGAGACGCACAACAGTGTATATTTGTGATGATATCACCCATAGGAAGCAGTGTAAACATCAGAGGGTCCAACTGGCTCCTTTGAGCAGCACAAGAGATTATGTCATGTTTCTCTGACACGTTCCCCCCAAAGCAAACACCTGTACAGTAGCAGGTGAAAACTTTGAAGCTCAGTATTTCGTAAGCACTCAGATCTCTGGCAAAAATGTGCAACGCCACAGAGTCTTGTTCCCTGTGTTGTGTCTCTGTGAAAGGTATTTTCCCGCTGGGTTAACAACAAGTAGACAGGTCCAACAATTGATCGTTTTACACAAGCTTTCAGAACAAGAGACTGATCACAGACTGAGCTAGAGCTGACCAAAAGTAAAAGTTTTTGTTTTTATTGTATAAGACCTCAGGCAGGATTTAGTCAGCAGGGACTTATCTGTTGCAGCTTTTGCTCTTTTATTACCTAACAATAGTTGGTACAGAAAATTCAATTTTCTGTCAATGTTTTTTATATTACAGGTCAACAGAGCATTCGTGTCACAAGTCTTCTAATTTGCCAAGGTCTGTTATGGGTGGGCACAGCTCAAGGCTTAATCATCACTCTTCCAGTTCCAAAACTGGAGGGCATCCCTAAAATAACAGGTACGGTTGAACCGCATCTTCTGAGGTCAAAAGAAAGAGGAAGAAACTGTTTATGGTAGAAAATTACTCTGCACTGCCCATTATTGAGGTCTCACTTCGCATTTTTCATGTAGCGAATGGAATCAGTGCGAATATTATCAGGCAGGCAGCTCACAAATCATATTGTATGTGTATTCTTGCAGCATAATTTAAAAGTGCCTGGCAGTGTTTTGTTTATCATGCCAAGTGAATGAGGCCATTGGTTTTCCACTTGCACAACCCTCACTTCACAGCCACCTTATTGCCAGCTAGTTTATTGAATAATATGTAAATGTCCCACAAACCATGGCTGGCATTATTGCTTCAACAGTCACAGAATTATGATAAATTTTTGCTGTTAACTGTGTATGACACATGATGCGAAGCTAGGTTCAAGTCATTTTCAGTTCACACAATTCAGCCGGCGACTTGCATAAGACTCTTACTGAGCTGATGTGATTGGCAATGACTTGGACCCAGAGCTGAACAGAAACATTGTCTGTTTTCTCACCAGACAGCAAATGAATATTAATCGTGCATAATTGTTACAGGGAAAGGAATGATTTCCCTCAATGCTCATTCTGGGCCTGTGGACTTCCTTGTGGCGAGCACCAGTACTCTGTCTCCTGACCTGCTGAAGAGGGATTCTGTTGGGGATGGTCCAGACTCGGCCTGCGGAGGCGAGGACCGAAGCGACACCTCCTCTCAGGAGTCCCTTCAACCATCCAGCTGCTACAAGCCAGAGGAAAAGGCCAAAGGGCGTAGCGTTCTGCTCCAGTACAAGCTGCGCTCTACATCAGGACTACCCGGTTGGCCATTAACGGCACTGGGCGACGAGGCGTCCGACTCCTCTCTGGAGTCTTTGGAACACAGCGTGGAAGATGGATCTATCTACGAGCTCAGCGATGACCCAGAAATGTGGGTTCGGGGCCGTTCTTGTGAGCGGGACGGGTCGCGCAGAGACAGGGTGGTGTCTGCTGCGGTTATATCTGGAGGAAAGGGATTCCGGAGGCTGAAGGAAGGAGCTGCAGCAGGTGGCAGGACAAGCGGAGAGGGATTAGAAAATATTCTTATGGTATGGCAGCTCCCATTGACGGTGTGATACGGAAAATATACAGCAAGGTGACGTTTATTTATAGAAGTCTACTCAGCTTAGCCTTGAATCACCTCCTCCATAAATTCAGGGGATTTGAATGTACGAGTAGGTGCTGCCGCCGTCACAGAGCTTGACGCTCCATCATTTTAGCTGTGGGGGAAAACACAAACAGAAGCTCAGACATGCTGTTTTAAGAGCCCGAAAGGATCCTTTGAATGTTCAGGATAGTGTGTCATCATTTTCGCCGTGATGGCAGAGGTCGCCGCAGATTAGTTCCATGTCATCACTCTGATCTGGTTTCTCTTCCTGCCTTAGTTAAGACTGATACGTCTCACTTTAACCTCATCAAAGCTGCATGTGCACTGCCACATTTATTTTATGTAAAAGACTTCAGTGGGAGCACGAACGGACGGCATGCCTTTGAGAAGAAGGCTTTGTTGAGTTTGTCGTGCGCTGCAGAGTTAAAAGTGGGCGTCTTCTATCTGATCTTGTGGATGAGATCCCATCTGGTCAAAGCTGAAAGCTTGGGACAAACTTCATACCGCAAAGAACATTAGCTCCATTTTTATTAACGTTGCCTGCCTTTTTTTCCTCATCCCATGCAATGTGAATGGATGATCTCTTCTCAGAATTGAGTCTCTTTGAAAAAGAACAGTTTTTAAAGTTTGTTGCAGCATTTCAAAAATGATTTTTAGCGACAACTTGTGCTTTCAAAAAATGTTCTTAACTTTGTTTGGTTCAGTCAGACACGTATTGAATAACTACGAAAAACCTGCATGAACAAATATTAATTTTGCACTTAAAGGCTACTGTTATATTTGCAAACTCATTTGATCAAATGAGACTGCTCAGTGCCACATTTTAGAGAATCTTTCCCAAGTACTGTAAATTCCACAATTCTGTTTTCCTATTCACTGTCATCTGTCAGCAAGATAATACGAATGTGCTCGCTGACTTGCTCACATTAGCCCGAAGCCACAGTCGCACATCAGGATCTATTTTCACATGAAAGAAGACGTGGAAGTGCTGCAGCCATCTACACTGCTGCCTGCATTATAAGAGAAGCTACCTGAAACAGACCGGAGAGAGCAGCTTTACACAGAATGTATAACAGAGGAGGACTCTGATTGGTGTTTTTAACATTGCACTAGGGCTGGGCGATATGGACCAAAATTAATATCTCAATGTTTTAAAGATAAATCGTGATTTACAATTTATATATATATATATATATATATATATCAATATTTTTTCTTTCCATAAAGTAATAACAAAAATATATTTCTGAGTCAAAGCTTTGTCCCAGTTGTCACACAGGCACATTTATTAACACACAACTGTAACTGTACAAAATAAATGTCTAAAAAAAATCAACTATTTTCATATATTAAAGTTTGTTTTTTAGACATTTATTTACATGTAGTAAGTAATAATCCTCTTCAGCTGTGCTTCCTTCACAACGTAAAGATTCCCACAGACTCTGGCGTACTGTGTGTACTCCGTGAGCTGCGCGGATACTGCGCGTACTGTCCGCAGACGGTTGAGGCTTCATACTCGAGCATACACCCTGATGGGCTGCAGCCCAGCTCCGCAGGCAAGAGGCGTTTACCTTTGGGACAAATTGAAGTCGCCATTTGGTTATTTGATGACACGCCTACAGGATTGATTGACAGGTCGCAAAAAAATAACTAACCGAGAGCTACCGGCAGCTCTAGGTAGAGGCAGCTGGCAGCCCAGGAGGAGCGGCAACGGTGTTCTGTGTTTATATGTTGTTAATAAAAAGTTATTAAAAAAAACAAAACAGGGAGCGCTGGCCCTGCAGCCCACAAATCAGACCGGCCCACTGGGAAATCTTCAGACCCTCCCGCAGCCACGCCAGGCCTAATTTTAATTCTCTCGTGACAAATTCCTTCATTTCTCACAATTTCAGTCATGGGGTCAACGAACGAGGAGGAAGAGATCGCTTGCCTCTTGGCAAAAAACAAAAAACAAAAGAAAAGGCCATTAAACCAGACCAGGGATGAAGAAGGAAAATTTAATACATTGTGTCGCATACAACACAGTCCGTCGCCGGGCAGTTTATTGTGCGACACCGAGTACGCGTACGCGGTTGTAAAAATTGATCTTTGCGCAGACATGGCTTGCAGACGTCCACTTCGAGTCCGCGTTGAGTCTAATCGGGTACGCGCGGACCTCTGCGGAGTGAAGTACGCTCGCGTACGTGGGAGCCTTTAGTAAGTGTATGTGAAGCAGCATGTGAGGGAGAAGGAGGATCCTTGTGAAGTTGGTGCAGACAGGAGGAAATGAACTACACAGATTTTCAAGTCTAATAATACTCTATGGTTGCGATAGAGCCATTTTAACCATTGTAAATTGAAAAACTCGCGATACATCGAGTATACTCGATACATCGCCCAGCCCTACATTGCACTTAACAAATGAACATTATGTTTATTACCTATCTATCACGGTTACTTAATAAAACCCTGTTTAAAGTTAAATGCAACCACTAATGTTTAATTTTTTTTATTTTTCATCAGGATGCGGTGATGCTGATTAACATATCACTGTCATAGAGTCTTCATTTCCATGATTTCAGATGAGTTAAAAGATTACGTATAGTTTGTAACCTGATACACTTTTATAATAATTTTTTTAATTGTACTGAATGCTATTAAATGGGGTATAATTATTTGAGGTACAGTTAGTTGTTTTATTAAACAAAGGACTTTGTATGCTCCCAAAAAACTGCAAATGTGTCGAGTCAGGGGCGATAGGAGTGCTCAGTGGTACTGTGTGGAACTTTTAAATAAGTGTTTCTTCAAAATGTCTAATTGCAAATTGTTTGAGCACTACTGGCCTTGTAAGGCTGAAGTTGTTAACCCTGGCAGCAGACTGAAGCAAGTGGTACGTACTTTTCAATGCACATTTATTTCACAGTCTGTTGGCACAGTTGGTTTGAGACCACTAAAGTATTTAACTATGAGCAAACCATTTTAATAAACTTAGTGACTGTCACACTTCTGGCATATTGAATTATTTCCTCTCCACCTTTTTTCTGTTTAGTCCTTCCACCACAGACGTATCGTTCTTCAATCACTTTGTTAAAAAAAAAAAAATATTTTTGTGTTTTCCATCAAGCAAGGTTAGACTCCATTTTCCTCAGCAAAATTAATCAATAAGCTTTGAAGTGCTTTATAGAAACCATAAAATACAGTGACAACTATAAAATAAAACCATTTGCTGTATTACAGAATAAGTTTAACAGTAGCAAAAGCCTTCTAAAATAAAAAAATGCACTCTCTGACACTTATTGCAAACACATAATAAATGTAACATGTAAGTTATGAGATTCAGTCCTAGAGCTACAATGGTCACCATAGAGACTGATTTTTTTTTATTTATTTACTTTTTTCCCCCCCATCTGGAAATAATGTATTATGTTATTGAATGTGGCAGCAATCACAACAGGACTTTGTGATTAAGAGGCATGCACTGTAAAACTTTGGCTTTCAAGGTACTTTGATTGTTGCCCACCTAATGAGGATGAGTTTATATTCATGCATGAGTCATCTCAGCCAGTATATATAAATTACTTGATTTATTTTCTGCAAATGAGTTGCATTTTGCTCTATTTTCCACAAACTTTTATCCATTTGATTATTGATTTAATCTCTGTTTGACTTTGATGGAAACTGGCCTTCTCTTATTATTTACTTGCAGATGAAAATCATGCACTGAATATTGGCATTCGAGACCATTTTAATCTCATTGTTCAGATTATTGTCCTAAATAAACATGTTTAATTTGGTAAAGGATGTCTGAAACAGCATTCATGTTTTAGGTGAGACTGATTTTACAGCTTATGAATCTGGTCTTTGGTGCCATTCATTGTTTCTAACATTGACTCCATGAATTAAATGCTGATGTTTAACAGCGTGGAGACGTCACCGGAGCTGTGGATGACTAGCAAGGTAGGAAATCTTTCATTATATTTAACAAGATTTTTCTTGCCATACTTACTAGAATCATAGTCAGGGCATTGCTACTAACATTACAGGTGAGTTACATTTCTGTCACTTTTTATAACTTGTATTTCTTGAACGCATTGTATTTCTCTTTGTGGTTCCATCTCTCAGCTTTTGATTGTTTGGTAAATTAATTGTTACATCTTCAAAATCTATGCTAAACTCTGCAAAGTAAGTTTAGAAACTAAAGTTGTGAACCATAATTAAGTTCTGAGCTCCATGTAAAGCAAAAATAAATCGGCATTTCTGATTTTGTCAGATTGCAATAAAAATACAATAATCTTCCATCAAAAATACTTTTATTTAAATTTTTTACCCTTAATAAATCTAAACAAGTGATGTATTATGGAATTTCTCCATATTTATAACCAAATGTTTGACTGAGATATGACCGTTTTCATTGATTCTGACTGAAAGTATTGAGCACTACCATTTTCAGCCGCTAGATGGCACTCGAGTCGTATGGCATGCCATTGTGTCATGTAATGGGTAAAAATGGCTATTAATGGCACAATTGGCTTGCCATAGCCTGCCACCTTTGTCCAGCTCGCCTGGAACTTAAATCAGCTTCGTTTCACTGCGTCGCCCCGGCGAAATGCAGCTGATTTGACCATTAAAGTGCATTTATTAAGTAGAAGTTCAGCTGAAACACACCTTTACTGTAATGTCGAGCAAACAAATAAGAACTGCGCAGTGTTCCTCCTTCCTGATTTCCTCCCTCAGAGCACGCTCCTGAAGCACAGAGGCAGCAAATACTTTTGAAAATGCAGCTGAATTGACCGTCAAAGTGCATTTATTAAGAAAAGTTAAACTGAGACACACCTTTACTATAATTTCGAGCAAACAAATAATTGTTTTTAAGTGCTAATCTTGTTAAAGTCCACCTGTGCACGCTCCCACGGCCGCCATTTGGCAGCCAATCGATTTTTGTCACAACACCGGCCCACATTTCTGGGTTTGGCCCACATTTCCAGGTTGACAATGGTGACGTGTAACAAATGCAACGCATCAGCGGTGACGCATAATATATTCGACTTAAACGGCGAAGTGACGTATTTA